TGGGAAGAATTTGCAAGTTAGAGTTTCAATCTGGACCCAAGGGAAGTTCTCTTTTCCATCACCAGGCAAAACCTTTTCCTACCAGTAAACAAGGGAGGAGCACTGAACCAATCACCAAGTCACCACATCACTTTATACTTTAGGGAGAAGAGAAAAGGGGGTACTCACACTGACTAAAATAGTGGTCCATAGCCTCCAAATGTCACTATAAGTTGGCTCAGGGTGGTATGTACATGGAAACCTTTGTTGCGGGGGAAGGTCCACTGGGCTTGAGAATTGCTGAGTTGGCTTTGAACTTAATGCACGTAAGAAATGGTAACATTTCTCAGCCTCTCTTTTCAGTTTTATTTCCTCCTGCCCCTTCTTAGTCAAGGACCATTGTTGCCAGGTGTGTTAGGACCTTGGGAATAACCATAAAATTCTAAGTTATGCTTATATTACACTCACACCAGATTCTAGATATGCAACACCTGAGAACAAAGGTAGGGAGATTGATGGCATGTCACATAAAGTGTGCAGAGGAGAGATGAACGGGATGACTAATCATACACAAATAGCTCCTTCAGACACTAAATAATGGGGGAGCTCAACTACCTGTCTGTACGATTTCTTTTCATTTCTCTGCTTCATATTCACCTCGAAGCACCCCACAGCATAAGCTTCACAAAAGATTTTGATTCAGAGAGTTACATTTCTGGATTACATAGGCCAGGAATGGGCAACTTCCTGGGAATATATAGAAAACTATTATGTTGTTATAATAAATAACGTCATAGTGGAGTTTGTTAGATGATAATTTACTTGAAAAACATCTAAAGATGTGAATTCTGACTTCGGATGGCAAAGAACTAAACACAGGAGACCTAAGCGATGTGAAATCTGATTTTTATTGGGGAAAATAGTCATGTATGGATTTGTGTTACTACTAAGTCAATTTAATTTGTGATTGACCTCTAACTTTTTTGGTAGTTTTTCACTGATTATAAAGGGCAACTTATTTTTTGTTCTATAAATCAAAAAGTGCTGAGTAATGGAGTATTTAGAGTGCTAGGAACTGTCTGTTGAGTATAAAAGTCACTGACATCCACAAGATTTCCTGTAGGCAAATTAAAGTGGTGGTAAAGTTGTTAAACATACCAGATCAAGTTCAAGGAGGGTCTATATTTAAGACAAGATTCGATATGAGTTAGATCAAGTATGAGAATTAGTGTTGGCTGCAACAATGATTAAAAACATTTAAGTTTTAATAAAGTCCTAGTAGTTGTTAGATATATCTCATACTAAATTGTCTAACAAATTAAAAAATAATACTTATTGGGTTGCCGGAAAAGTCATGACATATTTTTTCTATGTTTTTCGTTGCAAAAATGCATCATGACTTTTCCCACAACCCAATAGTAATGCTGCTTAATGTTTTTGTTTTTAGGTTTAATATAATAGCCCTGTCTTTAAATTTTTTCTTTTTAAAAAATAAATTTTAAATCTTCGAACAGTTTAAGGTAGTACAGAGTTCCCATATACCCCAGACCTATATTCCCTATTATTAATTTCTTATATTTGTACATTTGTATGATACATTTGTTGCAATTATGAAATCAATATTGATATATCATTTTAACTAAAGTCTATAATTTATTCTGATTGTCTTAGTTTTTACCTAATGTCATTTCTCTCTTCGAGGATCCCATCCAGAATACTACATTACATTTCGTCCTCACGTGTCCTTAGGCTCCTCTTGGCTGTGTTAATAGATCAAACTTGTTTTTGATGACCTTGACAGTTTTGAAGAGCACTGGTCAAATATTTTTGTACAAGAATCCTCAATTTTCAATTTGTTTGATATTTTTCTTATGATTAGGCCGAGGTTATTTTGGAAGGAAGACTACACAGGTAAAGCACCATTTTTACTACATATCAAAGATATATACTATCAACATGACTTATCATTGTTGATGTTGACCTTGATTAACTGGCTGAACTAGTGTTTGTCAGGTTTCTCTAATGTAATGTCATTCTTTTCCACCCTTTCTGTATATCCATACGGTTTTGAAGGAAGTCATTATGTGCAGCCCACATTGAAGGGGTGGGGATTTAATCTCCATCTCCTTTAGAGCAAAGTGTCTAATTATTTGGAATTCTTCTGTGTGAGAAATTTGTTAATTCTTCCTTATTTATTCATTTGTTCAATTATTTATCTATATCAGTATGAACTTTGGATGATAAGCCAACTTTTTTACTTACTGTGTTGCTCCAATTTGATAACTGGGACTCTTTCAGTGGTTTACTATATCTTGTTTTATACCTCATCATTTTTTTGTTTGTTTTGTTTTTGTTTTTGTTTTGTTTTTTGTTTTTCTTTTAAGCTGAGCCATCCTTGGCAGCTCAGCGGCAACTCAGCTCGGGCTGGGAATCGAACCACTGTTGCTCAGAGCTCAAACTCTTGAGCGAGCTCTTAACCAACTGAACCACTCGGCCAGCCCATATACCTCATCTTTTTTTTTTTTGAAACATTTCCTTACTTTCTGGTTCTACAAGATACTCTAGTTAAAGAAATGAGGAATGCAGGTGTAGGTAGTCAGAGCATTATTAGAAAAGGCACAAGAGAGTGAAATGTAAGATATGTTAATGGGAATACCACAATTTGATATTATTACTGAAATGTAAAATAAGTGGACAATGATAGTATCACAAATACTGATTAATGGTTAAACTTGGGAGAAGAAGAGGGATACAAAATTTAATTACATTGCTGGATTTTATACTTTGTTTAGGATTTTTGTATTTATGTTCAGGGGAGATATTCTTTATTTTTCTTTTCTCATACTGCTTTTGTTTGGTTTTTATTTTAATCAAATTACATTAGACTCATAATTTATTTGGACAGGTCCCTCTTTTTTCAATCATTTAGAAGAGTTTGTAAGATTGGAATTATCCATTCTTAAATTTTGGTAAGATTTACCTATAACACCATGTGGGCCTGATGCTTTTCACCTGGGAAGATTTTATATTTCTAATTAAATTTCTTTGGTGCTTCTAAGTCTATCCAAGTTTCTGCTGCTTCTTGATCAATTCTGTTTGCCCCTTTTATTAATGCTTCCAAATGTATTGACATAAAGTTTATTATATCTTATGTCCTTTTAAATCTCTGCTATTCTCTTATTGTGTTCCCTTTGTCATTTCAAATATTCTTTACTTTTGCCTTGAACTTGTTTTCTTGATCAGTCTTGCCAGAGGGTTGTCAATTTTATCTTTTTAAAGAACCAGTTTGGCTTTGTTGATATTCCCGTCACATGTGACATTATTTTCCTGAGGTTTTACTTTTTCTTTTATTGTTTTCTTTCCTCAGTTTTTTTTTTTGTGTGTGTGTGTTTCTTCTGTTTCCTTTTTATCACTTAAGGTTGAATGCTTAGATTATGTCTTTTCAGCCTTTTTTATTTTCTACTAGCTGTACCCAGTTTCAACTTTACATTTATTTCTGTTGTTATTTGATTAACGGCTTTCTCCTATTATGGGCTATCTACTCCTTGAATCTGAGGATGATTTCATTTTTTTTTTTGCTGTAACTCCCTATCTAACCTTTAGCATAGTGCCTGACTTGTCATCATGGCTCAACAAATATATCCTGGAGTGAATATTTAGTATGATTTGTAAACTGCAACACACTTTACACATTAAATTATTAATATATTTATGTGATCTGAAAATAGGATAGTAGCTTGGAGCATATTAGAATATCAATGCAACTGTCTAAGAAAAGTTACAGAATCAATATTTTTGAGAGATATTTTCATTTAAACCTAAGGGAGTAAAAATGTCTTCAGGCAAACACTTTCTGAACTGCTGAGCGTTACAGAAACAGAAAAGTCAGTCATCAAAGTATTTGTGAAGTCAACCTGAAGTCATCCGCTTTCTCCTTCAGTGAATTCTATATCCAGGAACCCTTGCTCGGTAGGGTTATGGTGCCATTTCCAATTTTACCACAGTGGGAAGTAAGAAATTATCCTTAGTTTCTCTTAAAACATCATAACTATTTGGAGTCAGTTATTCCGAAGCTGACATGCCATCTATGTTCCTAATTACCTGCGTGACTTCAGGCAAGCGACTTTTCCCCTTTGAGCTTCGATTCTCTAATCTGTAAAATGGGGATCAGGTGCCTGCCTCCCTCCTGTATTATTGTGAGGATTACATGAAATAACGGATCTCAAGCACCTGGCATGGTGTCTGCCATGTGGCAGGTACTCAGGGACTATTATTTGTTATTGTTGTTCCTGATACTTCCTGTGTGAGCATTTCATGGAAGGGACTATGTCAAAATATCTCCTGTGCAGGTAGGAGGATTTAACCATTGAAACAGAGGCCCTGGCAAAAAATAGTCTAGGGAAATAAGGATGACTATGTGCAATAAAAAGGTGATCTTTACTATTGTTTTGTTAAAAATAGATACATTTGCTGGGAAAACTTCTCATCTAAAATTTCTCTCAAAAAAACACTTTTTTTTTTCTCTCTTATGTGCAACTCTCTGAGACCTTTTTATAATTCCAGTAATGGGAAAACTAGATTGAAATCATACTATTATGAGTTTATTTATAGCAGATAATGCACAACATACTTCTGGAATGACACTGCGTGGAATAATTAGCTGTTCAGTGAGGCTCTCTTCTCCCTGGGTCTGGGGGGGGGGGATCTGTTGCCTTAGTCAGTGGCAATGCTATTTCTATTGGAGAAGTTCCATCAAAAAATAAATATATTAGAAAAATGACTTTCAAGAATGACATAAACTAATATCAAAATCTGTTATAGCTAGTATCAAACATTTTTTGCATCAATTATTGTTGTAATTTAGGCTGAAGAATAACGCCAGCTATTTTGCTACATTGCTGAAGTCCTCTTTTTTGAGCCTACAATGAACCTGTAATACTTATAAAAGGAGTTACCATAGCAACCTCCATTGATGTCACAGGCTCAGGCTTCTGACTTCATTGCATAATGCAGTAGCAACTGGCTTTGCAGCAGAAACACCCTGCTAAAGAACAAGTATCTGGGTTCACAGCAAAGAGGACAAAGAAAAACAGCAAGTTATAGGGGGTTGAAGGCTGGATTGTGAGTCAGATTGTCTGAGTTCTTCTTTTAATCCTGCTTCTCACTTGTTGACTTGTGTTGAGTAATTGTGTTTACATGTGTGCACTGAGGCTTGAAGCAAGGAATCTCCTGTTTATGGGAGAGCCATAGAAGACAAAACTAAATATTTAATGTTTCAGCATTTGGTGGACATCTTAATAAAGCTACAGCACCCTAAAAATAACTTGGAAAGGAATTACTAGTGCCTTGTAGTGGATCTCTAGCTAGCTCACAAAGATAAGGAGGCACTTTGAAATAAAAAAGCATCTAGCTATTATTTTTTTTAAATTTAGTTTTTGAAGTAGTAATGGGCAAAGAACAAGATTGAAGTCCTAATCTTAATTTTAGCAAGAATGTAGAGAACTCCTTCATAAATATATCATGTAGCTATATCTATTTACAGGTTTTTTTTTATGTTCAGGATAAAGTGAAAGATTAATCTATTAATGGGTATGATGCTTCTCATGTTTATACTGTGCACATTAAATTATGAATGTTTTTAAATTTTACCATGTAAATGTTTATTCTCATTACAAGAAACTAAATATGTGAAATGGCTTTGCTAATTTAAAATGAAATTTTAAAAAGCCCTAATGATCTCCATCTTTGGAATGGCCTAATCTTTCCATTGCAGCCTATAATCTGTTTATTATGTCAGCTGGTGTAGCTTTTATATTATACACTAAATTTCAGAATTGAAATACAAATATTTTGGAATTTAAAAAGGCATTAAACTAATAAACTTTCTTACCAGAAACTTAGGTAAAAACATGATATAGATTTTTATTTTATCTAAGGTAACAAGCTAGAACATTTTCATAGAACTGTGGCACTTTCCACCCCCTCTCCATATGCTTCAAAATCATTCCAAGATATCAGCAAAAATTTAACGTGCAACAAAACTTCAATAACTAAATTCCTTGTTAAAAAAATGAGCAGAAAGGCACAAATAATTTGTCAAATCTTAGGAAAATTTTAAGTTACCCCTGAAAGTGTAGAGCAAGGTAGAAGTTGTGGTCATGTTTTGGATAAACACACAAATGCAATTGAGCTCCTCGTCGTATTTCAGGACAAACCATTTGTACGAGTCTCAAAATCTTGTAAAATCTTTCAAAAGTCGGAATTTAGTAGATAGTGTTTTATAGACTATAGAAGAATGAAAATTAGTTTTTTCATTGCAAGCATTATAGCTATCAAACTGGCTAATGTGATATTTCTTTTATATTGGAAAAAATTTTTGTGTGCTTATATTGACTTAATTCAACAGATTTTTGTTGACTTTATTGACATGAAAAATTCCTGAATGTACATAGTAAAATTTTGTCAAAAAAGAAGAGACAGGTGTGTCTCCACTTTTTTTTTTCCAGCTTAAGCAAAGAGAACAAGTAGTGTTGGTTACCTTCTGATTGCTACTTTGTTCCTTCCCCTAAATTCCACCATTTCCTAAGTACAACCACTCTAAATAGCAGAGACCAAAACTACACTGAAAAATCACATCAGTGAATCATACCTATAGAAGGAAACTTACGTGTTTTTTTTTTTAAATCAAATTGAGGTCTGATAGATTTAAATAATTTTCCCAAAGTTAACTGATGGAAGACTCAATACCTCAACCAGGTACTTGTCCTGGTTCCACCTGATGTTGTCGTGTTCCACCTGATGGCTTTAATCCAGAGTCACCTCCTTGATAGGAAGTCCTTTTTCTCTCAATGTGTTTTTTTTGCTTAGTTTTGTTTTTCCCCCTTGGCAAATACCACTAGAAATTAGAGACACATTTATTAATCTTTTCAAAGAATCAACTCTTGGCCTTGTTTATGGCTTTTGTTTATTGCATATTTGCTTTGTTTAAAATTATCTTTTACTGTGTAACAAACTACGTTCAAACCATATTGGTTTTAAAACAACCACCATTTTACAGTCTTACCTCATGATTTTGTGGGTCAGGAATCTGGTAGAGTTTTCCTGTGTTGTTTTTTGCTTCATGCTGTATTGATTGGGTTTACCTGGTGGTGTTCAGGTGGAGGTTGATTTGGTCTAGAGAGTCCACAATAGCTTCACTCACATTTCTGATGCCTAAGCAAGGTGAACTAAAGCGTTAAACTCAGGTGGGTTTCTCCTATCCATGTAGCACAGGGCCTCTCCACATGGCCTCTCCAACAGCGTATTAAGATTTACTTACATTGCAGCTCAGAACTCTAAAAATGTCCCAAAAGACGGGAAGTAGAAATTACAAGTCCTCTTAAAGGCTAGACATAGAATTGATGACGCATCACTTCTGCTATACCTAGGTCAGAGCAGTCATAGATCAGAGATTCAAGGGAAGAAGAAATAGATGCCTCCTCCTATCAATGGGATGAGTGTCAAAGAATTGGGGCTATCTTTGCTCCATCATCTTTACTCCATCACCTTGATCCTGTGTTATATTTTAGTTTTCTATTTCAATATTCTTTTGTTTCTTCCTTCTGCTTTCTTTGTCTGTATTCTACCATCTCCTCCCACAAATTCTTAAGTTGGATGTTTAAATCATTAATTTTCACTATTTCTTCTAATATAAACGCTGAAGTGTAAATTTTTCCTTAAATAATTGTTTTCATTGTGTTTCAAAGTTTTAGCTATATTGATGTTTTGCACTTTGTTCAGTTACAAGTATTTTCAATGTTTCATTATTGTTTCCTTTATGACCTATGAGTTATTTGGAAGTATGGTTTTCAAATTTCAATAATATTAAGTCTTAATAATGTATCTATGTGGGAATTAAAAGACATATCCATCAAAATGCAACACATGATCCTTATTTGGATCCTGACTTGAACAAACTTCATAAAACATATGAGATAATCAGGGAAATTTGAATGCCAACTGGATATTTGAGGGATTTTTATATATTTTAAAAATATGTAATGGTATTATGATTATATTAAGAGTCCTTTAATAGAGTTACAGAGAAATATTTATGGATGAATTTGCTTCAGAAAAATTCAGAGGGGAGTTGGTGTATACATGATAAAAGATTGGCTATCAGTCAAATAATTGTTGAATGTAGCTGGAGCATATATGAGTAGTCCTTATACTACTTCATTTACTCTTGTATGTGTTAGAAATTTTTCTTAAGAAGATATTAGAAGTTCATCCCCTTAAATAATGATTTCTGATTTAATTGCATGATGGCTAGAGACTGTAGAGTGTGTATATATGTATATTCATATATATGTATTTATATATAATCAGCAAACACATAGACCAAATACATTTTCCATTTTATATATATATATATATATATATATATGAGATCACATATATATATATACACACATATATATATATATAGGTTTGCTTTATGGATTAGTGAATTCAATTTGATAAATCTACCATGTATACTTGAGAGGAAATATAGAATATCTCTCTCTTATCTCTGTTTCTATATTGATAATATATCTATATATTAAATCAAGTTTAGTAGTCTAAAATGTTCATATTTAATAATATTTTCTGCTTGAACTATCAATAATTGAGAAAGTGTGTTTCATTCTTATATTATTATGATGATTTGTCAATCTCTCTGTAGTTCTTGAATGTTTTGCATTATATAATTTTAGATAGGTTCACATTACATATCTAATTGTTAAACCTTATTCATAATTTAAAACTTTAATCTTTAGATAGTATCACTTTTCTTCCTAATAATGTTTTTATCTTAAAGGCTGTTTTTATAATATTAATATAGCTCTCCCTGCTTTCTTTGGGCTATTATTTGCTGGATATATCTTTCATTCATTTTCTGTTTTTATATTTAAATGCATCTCTTATAAAAAGCATATAGTTGACTTTTAATTAGCCTTAAAACTTCTGTTTTTAACTGTCAATTTTGGTCTATATACATGATTATGTATATAGACCATAATATTAATCATAGTATTATGATTAGTTATATATATTAACTTATTTCTATGATTTTAATTTGAGATTTGTTTGTATTTTTCCGTAGTTCTTTCCTCCTTTCCTTTTCTTTCCTTTGCTCTTTCCTTCCTGCTTGCTTTCTTGCTTTTTTCTTTTGAGTTTACTTGTGTTCTTATCCCATTTTTCTCCCTTTACTAATTAGAAATGATATATTCTACCTTGTCTTCTTTTAATATTCTTGACATTTCACTGGGTGTCCATTAACTTAATTTATTAACACAATTTAATCAACCACTCACATCCTCCTTTTTCGGAACAATACAAAGCTACTGGAACAATGATTCCAATCATCCCTCCTTACTTCAATGCTGTTACTCTTGAAGTTCTATCATTTTAATTTCACAAGTTAGATATGTTAACTGTTACTTTAAAAGACAAAGTCTATTTACATTTACCTACATGTTTACCAATTTCTTCTCCCCTTTCTTAGATCTTTCTTCTAGGATCATTTGTTTTTCTTCCAGATGTATATAGTTTAGAAATTTCTTATGAAAGTATACTGTTTCTCGCTCAGATTTTATCTAAAGTGCTTTAAATATATTTAATTCACTGTCAATCCTGAAGAAATTTTGCTAGGTGCAAAATAACAGGTTGACAGTTATTTTCTTGAAATAATTTCTGGAAGAAATTATTCTATTGCACCTGGCTTTCATTATTGCTATTAAGAAGTCTACTTTTAGACTAATTATCATTTCTTACAGGTGCTCTCTTCTGATTACTTCCTAGATCTTCTCTTAAGCTGTGGTGTTCTGCTCCTTCACTACAACATGTGCAGGTACGATTTTTTTTTTTGTATATATTTCCAGAATCTTTCATTTGTTCTGAAAAATTCTTTGTCTTTGAATAGTTCCTCTCCTTCATTCTTTCTATTACTTTATGAAATCTTATTCCATTCTTCATAGAATGGAATTTATTCTTTTATTTATTTCTTTTTATTCTATTTATTTCTTTTTCATGTTTTGATTGCCTTTTCTGTATTCTGTATAATTTCTTTAAGACAATCTTCCAATTTCCTAATTCTCTCT